ACTCTCTCTCTCTCTCTCTCTCTCTCTCTCTCTCTCTCTCTCTCTCTCACGATATGGATGAATAAATGAAAAAATCATTGTCATTTAACCCAAAATTTACCATTCAAAAAAACAAAAAATCAAAAAATCAAAAATCTAATCAGACCATTATCATCATTAGTAATGATCGATTGAATTGAATCATACAAAAAAAAATGTCATTGATTTGATTTGATTTGATTGCCAATCAAATGAGCAAAACAAACCAAAAACCAAAAAAAATTCTAATGAAAATCAAAATCAAAATCATCATTATCGTCAATGGAAATTGCATATGAATTTTTCGTTTTGATTTGATTTGATTAGATAAACAAAAATAAAAAAACTAAAATAGCAAAGATCACGAGCTTCAACGTCTTCAATGTTGGTATTTAATTTTTTTTTTTCATATAAAAATCTTGATTGAAAATTTGCCAAATAATAAAAAATAATGTTAAAAATCAATTCATTTTGTCAGCATCATTAACATTGTTGTCGTCATCAAACGTTGTTGACATTAGCCAGAAAAAAATTCAAATTGAAAAAAACGAAACCTGATGAAATTTTCAATGAACAAATTCAACAACAACAATAATAATTTATTACGATTGTTGTTGTTGATTATTGTTGTTGTTGTTGATTTATCGTTTGCACAACAATCACCACCAGATCCTGGTCAAAGAAATTTCAATAATAATAATGGATCACCAAGTACCGATAATGTTACACCATTACCATCAAATGATCAATATAGACGACCTGATTTAGAACCACCAAGTACCGATGTCGTTACACCATCACCATCAAATGATCAATACCATCGACCTGATTTAGATACACCAAGTACCGATGTCGTTACACCATCACCATCAAATGATCAATATCGACGACCGGATTTAGATACACCAAAAACTGATAAAGTTTTACCCAATCAAGGTACATCGCCTTTAGATAGTATGCAAGGTGATGATCCATCAGCGTACAGTAATAGTAATTATCAACCACCTGAACCTGGACAAAGAAATTTTGGTAATAATAATTATGGATCACCAAGAACCGATATCGTTACACCGAATCAATATCGACGACCTGATTTAGATTCACCAAGAACTGATAGAGTTTTACCGAATCAAGGTACATCATTTTCGAATAGTATGCAAGGTGATGATCCATCCGTATACAGTAGTAGTAATTTTCAACCACCTGAACCTGGACGAAGAAATTTCGATAACAATAATTATGGATCACCAAGAACAGATATTGTAGTCCCTTCCAATGATCAATATCGAAGACCAGATGTGAATTCGAATGATCAATATCGAAGGCCCGATGTGAATTCCAATGACCAATATCGAAGACCAGATGTGAACTCGAATGATCAATACCGAAGACCCGATGTTAATTCGAATGACCAATATCGAAGACCCGATGTGAATTCGAATGATCAATACCGAAGACCCGATGTGAATTCAAATGATCAATATCGAAGAACGACTTCAAATTCACCACGAACAGATATCGTAGTTCCTTCTGACGAACAAAATCGAAGATCCGATTACAATTCAAATGATCAATATCGAAGACCAGATCTGAATTCAAATGACCAATATCGAAGACCAGATGTGAATTCGAATGACCAATATCGAAGGCCCGATTTGAATTCCAATGACCAATATCGACGACCAGATGTGAATTCGAATGACCAATATCGAAGGCCCGATGTTAATTCAAATGATCAATATAGAAGACCGACTTCAAATTCACCACGAACAGATATCGTAGTTCCTTCTAACGATCAATATCGAAGACCAGATTTGAATTCGAATGATCAATATCGAAGATCCGATTACAACTCAAATGATCAATATCGAAGACCGACTTCAAATTCACCACGAACAGATATCGTAGTTCCTTCTAACGATCCATATCGAAGACCAGAATTAGGTTCAACTACTGTAGTTGTACCATCAGTTCCAAATGGTGGTAATAATAATGGTCGATATTCACAACCACCTGAACCAGGACAGTCAGAATTACGTCCATATCGAACAACACGTGGAATCGATTTAAATTCACCACGAACTGATATTGTTCTTCCACCTAACAATCAATATCGTCGACCAGATGTTAATTCAAACAATCAATATCGACGACCAGATGTAAATTCAAATGATCAATATCGAAGACCAACTTCAAATTCACCAAGAACAGATATTGTAATACCAACATCATCATTATCAACAACACAATCAATTAACAATAATGGAGAAAAGGAAAATATATTTGAAGATGAACAGATGCAAGGTGATGATCCAAATCCAATCGAACCTGGACATCGTGATTTTAATCAACGTTCTTCAACTACGGTATTTGTACCATCATATCGACCACCTGAACCAGGTCGTCCAGATTTTCATCGTCCAACTACTAATGGTGAAATTTATGTACCACCCGCACCAAACAATGATGGGGGAGTCTATGTACCACCCGCACCAAACAACAATGATGGGGGAGTGTATGTACCACCCGCACCAAACAACAATGATGGGGGAGTATATGTACCACCCGCACCAAATAACAACAACAACAATCAAAGATATCCACCATCAACTGATCCAATTTTACCACCAAATTATGGTTCAAATAGACGACCATATAATTCACCATCAACTGATCGAATTTTACCCACATCACCATCAACAACACCTATACAAATAATAGCATCATATCCAGGTGGTGGTAATTCTCCATCAACCAGTTCAATCGTAGTACCATCAATAAATAATGCACCTGAACCAGGAAGACGTGAATTTTTCGATCGTAACCGACCATATTGGCAATGTAATATGGCTAATAATAATAATGATCAATGTCGGCTGGAAAATCGTGCAAATTTTGTACAATTTAAACGTGGTTTATATCAAAATACTCATGCATTATTATTGGATATAACTGAAGCGATTCGTTTGAAAGAATCGTTACCACGATTAAATCCTGTCCGGTCATATAATGCTGGACGTTTAGTAACTAAAGATTATTTTCCAGCAAATAATAATCGTATTGCTTGTTTACATTTTAGTTTTGTATGGGATGGACCAGAAGATAAACGAATGCATCTTATACAACGTAATAGTGATGATAAATGTATTTATTCAACACATTCACATGGTTTGAATGATCAACATAATGGACGATGGCAAGATTTAGAGCTACAATTAGATTTAAGTCAAGGTGATTTAGCATTTTTAATTGAATTTTCATTCGATATTAATCGATCATCGATGATTGATAATCAAACTCGGAGACCATATCCAATACAAACAAGTAATACAACCAATGCTTTCGGTCGTTATGATTCAATAATTGCTGTACGTGATTTTACAATCGGTTATGGTTATTGTAAAAATAATCAAGCTATTGAATGTGATCTTCCAATTTAAACAAAGAAAGAAAGATTACTTCAAATTTTGTTGAATTTTTCTGAATAAAAATTTTAAATAAAAATGTATTTTTCCGTTTGCTCTAATTTTCTCTTTTTTTTCTGGTTGTAAACTTGATATCAGAATGAGAATTTGTAAACATTTTCCTTGGTAAAAAAGTGTGAGAAAAATGTAATTTTATATAAACACTTCATGCACACATTGTGGGTGTTTTTTTCAAAGAAAATCCCGTCGATATACAGAGAAATGAATGAATTTAACCTTTATATGACATTCTCATCAATTTCTTTTTTTCACTGATTTTGAAATACCAAGAAACAAACAAACAAAAAATTTCATTTGAAATCAATCAATTTTTTTTTGGTTTTTCGGTTTTTTATTGATACAATTTATTGGGAAATCAGACGATTGATAAAGTCAGACTGTATTGATTTGATTTGATTTGATCGATTGATAAATTTAGGCAATTTTTTTCCATATTTTTTTGAATTGATATGCAATATGCGTGGGTGATGTGTGTGTGTGACAAAAAATATATCTATCGAAAGTGATATGCAGGAATAGGATAACAAAATGAAATCCATGAAAAAACTTTTTTCCATCAAAGGAAAAATCAAAACGAAATTCTCATCAATAATCAACCAACAATGGCAAACAAAAGTCATCAAACATGGTTGGCCATAATTAATTTTCTATTATTATTAATCATTTGTTTATGGCCAATAACAATAATATTAGGTCAACGACCAAATCCACGGCAAAAATTTTTACCACCACGTTTTGATCCAAGATTACAGACAACATCAACAACATCGACAACAACAACCGAATCATCAAATATACAATTGATAACTGGATTACCGATACCGGTACCACCTTATATACCACCACCTTCTCCACCAACATCACCAGTATCTCCACCACCAGCACCACCAAGAAGATTAGGACATGCTGAACATCGACCAAAAGTAACTGAAATATTTCGTTCACCATTAAATCTTATTTGGAATTGTAAACTAAATCGACAACCATGTGATCTAAAGAATGGAATAAATTTTATTCCATTTGAAACTGATGATAAACGTAATCGTTTTGGTAGTGAAACATTTGTTGCAAATTTAGTTGAAGCAGCACAAATTATTGATGGTCGTATGGAGCAAAAAAATCCAAAACTATCGTTTAAAGCATCACGATTATGGACAAAAAATTATTTTCCAGCTAGATTTCGTAATGCATGTTTATTTTTAAGTTATTCAATGTTAGGAAATTATCGTAAACAATTATATATTATGCAACGTAATGCAGAAGATGTTTGTGTTTATTCGGCTGAACATTATGGTCAACAACAATCATATGCAATCAGTACTGGTCAATCATCATCATCAATCAATCAACAAAGATGGATTGATGCTGAAATACAACTGGATCTTAAATATGGTGATGCACGTTTTGTATTGGATTTTGAATATGATTTACCGGCAACAATAAATTATCAATCAATGGGTTCAGTTGAAATAAGAAATTTTAGCATTGCATATGGTAATTGTTTACGTAATGATGGTAATGAATGTGATTCATTACATGATATTACACAACCTTAGTTGTTTTTTATTGCTTTTTATATAGATTTTTACAAATGAAAAGAAAATAAAATGTTTTTATTTTTTAAATAAAAATAATCGATTACTGTGCCAAAAATAGAACTTATAATCTTATTTACTTACTTAACAACGATAAAAATAAAAATGATTCTTTGAAAACATAAACATTCACCACACACTCACATACGAGAAAAAAAATAATAAAGATTATAATCATATTACCGACACACACACTCTCGCTATTTGTAATTGTAATTTTTCTCATTCTCCCATTCTCTCTTTTGGTGTGTGTGTGTGTGTGTGTGTTTCATATTTTTCTAAAGCTGATTCTATCATCATCATTATTATTATGTAACAGTTTTTTTGATAGTGGTGGTTAGTTTGGGAAACCATGGCATCTTAATTAAGTATTCTTTAGTGCACACACACACACATTTCATATTCATTTACGTTTAATTTTCAATGAAGTTTTTCTCTTACTCTCACTTACAACATATCTATAGCCCACCAAAGTTAAACTTATAAAAGTAAAAATAAAAGTAATATCATTTCCTATAATCACATCTTTTATTTATTTATTTATCTATCTTATATTATTCGCTGTCAGTAAAAATATTATAGATGGTTTTTATAACAGAAAAAAAATGTAATAATAATAATAATAATAAATTAATATTAAATAGATAAAGATACACCGACGAAAAATATAAGAGAAAGTTTACTTGGAAAGAATGATGAAATTAGAAATCTAAACGGAAATTATTATTATGGGAAATATTTACGGAAACAACTTGGTTACTTTTTTTTCTGTTGTTTTTCTCTTTTCTCTCATTCATTAGTTTCTGATTCAAGATTCTTGCAAAAACAAAAACAAAAACAAATAAACAGAAATACGAAATGTAACCACAATCATCACCACCAAAGAAAAAATGATGATAAACAACCTATATAGATATATAAAATGTTTTTGTTGTTGCAGTACGGATTCTTCTTCTCATTATTGATTATTATTAGTTTTCGATCGATTCGATATTACAATTTGGAATATATATCATCATATCTGGATATTATTTGTAATGTCATTATAGCCCTCTCCTTGTAAAAATTTATTATCAACAACAACAATGATGATGATGATGATGGTAATATATTTACATTGCATACGAATCATGTTTAAAAAAAAGTAAAACATGAAAAATAAATAACCATCACCAAGGAAAATGAAGAAAAAACTCGTTACATAACCAAAAAAGATTTCGATTCATAGTTTTGGTTTGGGTTGATTGAATGGTAATAATCATTATCATTATCATCGATATATAATGGTAATAATCAAATTGGGTAGATTTGGTGTGGTACCCCAACAGAAAATGCAGAATATTCTTTTGTTGTTGTTGTTGTTGTTGTTGTTGAAATGAATATGGTACAATAAAAACAACCAAGCCAAATATAAAAAACTATCCGAAAAAAAAGAATTGGGCGTCATTTTTTTCTGAATTGAGAAATACTATAAACTTTTTTTTTTCATTTGTAATCTTTTTTTTGGATTCTGTTCGGTCGTTTCGTTCGTTTCTCATTTCATTCCACCACACGAACGACGAATATGAATCCATATTGAAAATGACAATGCCGGGTATTAAAATTCCGGTTATGGATGAATTGATTTTTGTTTTGTCTCTTCATCTATTGGATATCAAATTTTCTCTTTTTCTCTCAAGAATCAAGAAATTCATCTTGAAATCATTGTTTAATAAAAATAAAAACAAAACAAAAAACAAAAACAGAATTTGGATTCAAAACAAAAAAAAACTTTTCAAGAAAAAGTTATGCTGTAGAGTCAAGTTGAAAATTGATGAAAATATAATTTCTTGAAAACCCAGAATAAATAAATAAATGAAAAAATGAATGAATAAAGACAAGTTTTTTTTGGTCCGGAATCCGAATCTAACACAACAGCCAAATCTGAATGTAAATTTGAAAAATTCTCTTTGTAAATTCTGTGTGTGTGTGAAAAGAAAAGAAACGGATGAATTTTCAAGTATACGACGACGACGACGACAACGACAAAGAAAAGGAATTTTGCAGGATTCTTGATTTTTTGGGATTCGTTTCAACAGAAGAAGAAGAAGAAACAAAAAAATCATTCGACCATTAAGAATATTGTCGTCATCGTCAATGTGTGTTTAAACAAAAAAAAACGAAAACGTTTCTACAAATTCTGGTTCTGGTTATTATTCGGGATTCTGGTTTCACTGAAGAAAAATAACGCTGCTAAAGTACACACACACACACAGAGATTGGCCGGCAACAGAATAAAGAATAGAATTACAGAATAAATATTCATTGAATTGGATTTTAAATGATGATGTTTGATGTTTGATGATGATGTTTGAAATGGAATCAGTATCATCATCATAAACTACGAAATGCAAACAAAAGTTTTATTTTTCTGTTTTTTGTTTCAAAATTCTGCCTGTTGTTTTATTACGCGTTTCCAAACCAAAACAAACCAGAAGAATAAAAATGGTGGAAAAAACAGGCAACAGCAGAATGAGAATAAATTCGTTTCGTTTGTCATTTTCCATTTTTACTTTGCTTTACTTTACTTTACTTTATTTATGATAAGTAAGTAAGAATTGTAAATAAATAAATGGAAATTTGTCAGAAAAAAATACATTTTGAAACAAATGAACAACAGCGAACTGAATGAATGAAATAAAATTTTGACAAAACCAAACTTTAAATAAACATTTTGTTTTTTAGCAAAAACAAAAACAAATTGTCAGTCAAGTGGTTAATTACATGACTTTTTTGTTGTTGTTGTTGTTGTTTGTCTTTTGTCATTTGATTTTTCAACAACAACAACAACAACAACAACAATTATCAAAAGGTTTCGAGCAGAGGAAAAAAACGGGAAAAATTTTAAAATGAAATTTTCAACAACAACAGAATAAAATAAATTCATTCAGACTAAATTCGCTGGAATCATATATTCAAGAATGAATTTTGAAAAACAAAACAAAAACAAACAAACAGAATTTTACAGAATGAATGACTGACTGGAAAATTAACGAGAAAAATATACTCAAAGTTTGTCATTTTTCTTAACATTTTATGTTTGTGAATAGAAATGAGAGAAAAAAAGTGAAATTTTTAACCCTTTTTTTTCTTCCATAATCATAATCATCATCATTATTCAGTCATTATTCATTTTTGTTTTCTCTCCCAAACAAAAATAAATATGAATGAAAATTCCCCAAAAAATTGACAATCAAACAAAGAATATTCTATAAATGTTTGGTTGTTGATGATGAGAAATATTCATTGAAAAAAAAGATGAAAAATCGATTTCTAATCAATTGGAATGTCATCGAATTGATTATTATTATTTGGAAAAAACTGAATGAATTTGAATAAACATTTTTTTTTGTTCAATCAACAATGAATTCCACATCAAACAACTAAAGAATTTTAATATTTGTAAAAAACTTGTTATCAAATGGATATCATTAGCGCGTTATCCAAACAGTTATTAGTTCCAACAAACAAACATCAACATTTGAAAAACAAGCCAAAGAAGAAAGAAAAAATTCTGTTGTGGTCAGCAAATGATTTTGAACAACAACAACAACAACAAAAATGCTGATGAAAATCATCTTTTTGAAACATTTGCTTGCTTAACATTTTCTTGTTTTTTCCCTTGATGCTGCTCATATTTCATTCATTTCATATGCCAAGCATCATCAGCCAAAATGTCTGCGAAGATGTTCCTAGATAATATCTTTATAACAAGGATAGCATCATTTGGAATCGGATATTATTCTCAGCAACCATAACAACCAGAACTTTGATTTTAACCAAAGAAAAAACGAAGAAGGTATTGATTTTGTTTCATTCAGACATAAACATCTCTCTCTCTCTCTCTGTAGCCGGAAGCAAATTGATAATTTTCACCAAAATCATTTTTCTCTGTTATTTTTTTCTTTGTTTTTCATTTAATAATGATCATTAATAAAGAAAAATTACACAAGGGATCATTCATCATCACTTTTTTTGGGTGAAGGAAAATTGTGATAAAATTAACTTTCTCTCTGCTGTTGTTGTTGTTGTTGTTGAGATAATCAATCTGATTACAAACAAAACATAGACTGAAAGAATAATAATAGAGAGAGAGAGAGGAAAAAAATCAATCGATATTCAATCAAATCAAATCGAATTGATCGATCGATTCGATTGCTCATCATCAATTATCGAAAAGATATCAAATTGAAAAAACAAAAACAAAAACGAAGAACGAAAAACAGAAAAATCAATCTAAATAAAATATATTAATCATTTGAATATCAATGACAATTTGGTCAATCAAATATTTATGGAGAAACTTTCCGGGAGAAATGCTTCTTTTTTCCCCGAAAAGTTTCTCCATAATCAAATTCAGTCCAGAATACCAAACCAGAATAATAATAATGATAAAAAAGTGATGATGACAAGTTTACAATGTTTCTTTTGTTTCACACACACACACAAACAAAATGAAAAACATTGAAACCAAACAAACAAATTAAGAAAAAACAAAAAACAAAAACCTATTTAACATAATGACATCTTAATGAAATATAATTGTCAAAACAAAACAAAAAAAATCGGAATGACGACAACAGCGAAAAAAATATAGACAAAAACAAAATAAAATTATCGTTTGTTTGTTTTCTGTCTATTCGGTGCAAACGAAAAAACGGATGACATTAGCGATTTTCCTTTCTTTACTTTTTTCTGTTGTTGTTAGCTATTTTTTATGGCAGAATTCATTCTGGAAATGCTTTTTTTTTTGCATCACTAAATGGCGTCCAGACGCACACACACGAAGTGAAATGCAAACCAAACGGACAATTCTGGAAGGAAGTAAGCAAAAAAACAAAAAAGAAGAAAATGTAAATTCAAAGCACGTAGATTTTTTATTTGACAATGATGATGATGATCGTTTTTTCATTTAACTCTTTTTTTAACTTAAATGC